GCAGCGTATTTCTCTCAGGCAACTATCTTGGCTGATTTAGAATGTGCTCGGTCCTCAACTGCGGTGAACGCCTACAGTCTCTGAGAGAACAGGCATAACTGAAAAGTTGAAGCACTAATTTGCAACTCCGTTAGACGCTCACATTTCATATTAGCTGCACGAGTTTTTCTTTAAAGCCAGATGTAAGTTAGGCTAGAGACAGTAGGTCTATATTTTAACAAATATGCGGCCTTCTGCAAGGCCATCTCCCGACACAAAAAGCACTTTAGCTGCGAATGCCACATGCCTGAACATTGTTCGTTGGCAGTACCCCTAGAATGCTGGTTCTCACTTCTGCAGATTTCTGGCCATTTCGAAATTTGCCAGAAGCGAACAGAGTTTTTTCAAATGCATCGGGCATAGTTCCCAAGCAGTTTACAGGGAATTTTACGCTGTCTGGTTGCCGGCAAAATTGCCCATAATATAGCAGCATATCTTGAACAAATTAAACACTGCGTGAGGCTGACAGATCTCTGAAGTGACGCTCCGAGCAGAGCTTCATCCACTTCATTGCTTTCGACTTCTTCGCCCTGCTACACAATTCGACGCTAAACACGCAACCCGAGAAATCCGCTCAGATTTTAAACTCGACTGAAGAAGCAAGAAAACTGCGATCAACACTACCGTTGCTGGACTTCTCTTGTAGTTTTAAAGAGTCTTAGGGGCCTGATTTCTAAAACCTCTGCTAAGCAATTATCTGCCTGTATACAGTTGGCGGCATGCTTCGAGATTTGGTGCAGTCGCTAAAAATTCCCGTACCCAGATCATACGAATAAAACGAACTTAGAAGATATCTGAATGACACGTGCTTTTAATTTCCCGCTGGATATCAGGAAAACTTAACGTACAGGAAACAGCCTGTCTCTGTACGCATCATGAACAGAGATTCCCAGTGCCATTGGGTACTTTAGATTTGCTAGAGACAACCAGTACTGATCAGAAACTCCTAGTACTGATCAAAGAAACATTATTTTAGGCCAACGCCATTCTCGTGCAAATGGGCTGGAGAGAAGCAGATAATCTCATCATTATTAGGAGAATTTTGTAGATTCAGTGTATAAAATTCTCCCGGCAATGAGTTTCTGGCGTAATTCTCCTCGAGCGAAATAATATTACTGACAGATGTTATTGCTGATTACCGTACTACAGTAGATCTCCTGTACCTCAGAAAATCTACTGTAGTGCCAAAACTTGTACCCCTCGTGAAGTTTCAGCCTTCTTGTGTGGCTCCTGAGATCATTTTCATGCCAAAAAAAAAAAAAAAAATCTTGCACTCGCTCACACTTGGAAGCCACGTGAACGTGAGTGTTCATTTTGATGATAGGGACCTATACACAGACGTAGCTTAAGATGCCGAAGTTTCAGCTCTGTAGATTTTGTAAGCCTTGAGATAAAAAATCGGTAGAGGCGCATACACAGACATAAAACCACACGCACATAGACAACCCCTTGAAAACATACGATTTTGCATTGCATAGATGCAAAAATGCATAATAAAAACTACCAAATGACAATTAAATCGGATTCATTACTGAGATGGTCTTGCATGCCCGATGCAACTATGCCTGACTTCTACCTGAGCTGCGCGTCTCCTTTTTGCATTTATCGCTTCCACACTAATACGTATTTTCTGGCCATGTTCCTGAACATATCTTTCATTTCCATGTGGTTGCAGTGTACTGAATGATTTAATTCATCTCCTGGTCAATATAACATCGCCTAATCAAAGTACCCACCCCGCCTTCCGCCCCCCAATCCCTCTCTTCCTACATCGAAGTAATAAGTTATCGCATACCGCAATCGGTAGTAACACTGCACTTCTCCAGCAATTATTCCGAACATATGCAAACATAAATCGATCTTCATAAACGTACAGAGATAAGCAGTGGTGAAGACATGACAGTGATATTATTACGACCGGAGATAATGATCTTTCATTAATGACTATTACTACCACTACCTACTATTACAACAGCAACTACTACTGCTACTACAAGCAGCGCGCTATGTGGTGTCGTCAAACAGTTGGTGAGACAGTCCCTCAAACATATGTCATAAAATGGCAGCAACACCCGGCAGCAATTATTATTAAGGCTGCTACTTCGCCAGCAACACACGATACAATGCGATACAACTGCTTCCACTACAAAATCTAAGCATCTTGTGACAGATCGAGAGAAACCTCGAACAAGCGACGTTCCGGAAGACAACACAAGTCCTCAAGGCGAGTGCAATTTGATGCAGTACTGGAGCGCGGGAAAAGGTGGTGCAACGATGAGTGATTGTATTATCCCAGAGAATCTACGACGTATTTGTACATGCATTGCCAGCAAATTTTACTGTGCATGAATTAAGGGGAATACACAGAGATGATAAATATGCAATTCAAAATTCACGTAGCATATTCTGCAGTAAAGGATCTACATCTGTAGAGCAATTCTTTCCCAATTCAGCACTTCCCGAGCTGCAGAAACAGTGAATGCGAGGAGCCACTGCAATCAACAGTATACCTATTTCATTTAAGACTTATTTATACGGCATGCTTAATTTTTATGCAAAAAAAAAAAAAAACAACTCTAAAGAAAGCGGCTGACATAGATGAGCATCATCATATTTACACATACTCCATTTTTTTTCAGGAATCATCCCATCCAGCAACAAAGGAAACTGTTAAACACTGACCCAGGGATACACACAGGCACACATGCGCACAGCCACACACTCACACATACACGTACATTCCGAGACAATTCAGACGATGGAATTATCCTGGGCAAGCGAGAAATATGCGGGTGATTCGAATTTTCATCAAATTATGTTCCTCACAAGAAGGAACAATCCCATCTCTCCCTCCCTATCTCCTCCATCCAGGGATTTTATCCAGGGATTACAACGGGTTTTTGGTGAAAATGAATTAGATCCTATCATCACACATGAGTAAAAGCAGCAAAGCTAACTAACAACATAAGTACCAGAAATACCCACAGCATGTAACAAGAAAACACAAAAATAATGTTGAAAACGCTATAACTGGTTTCCGGATCATTGCGAAAATACCGGGCGGGACTCGAAAGTTAGAGCTCAAATCTTTCTACAAAATTCAGCAAAATCAAAGAGAGATTATTCCGGTTTATCCAGACCAAAATCCCGAACAACTGGAGAACTATACTTTCTGCACCGAAAATACACAGCACTGTGACAAGACCAATATCTAAGCACACACATATACCAGTATACAATAAAAAAGTGCATAAACATTATTCGATATGAATATTCTCAGAAAATGATTTTTTGGTTGCATAAGAAATTAGTGAAGGCAAACAGAGGAAAAGTGAAAGAAATTAAGGAATTCAGTTTCAATAGAGTTACACACAAAAACATGAGCAACATCATTATAATGTAAGTATAAATATATCATCATCTCTCTGCTGCATAACACCGAAGCTGTCAAAATGCGCAATTTATAAAATGTGGAACCGAAATGGAGAAAATATTTTTCTTTTTAAAGCCCGTTCTAATTAAAAACACCGAGCAAAAGGCGCTAGTTACGGGGACAACACAACGGGTAGTGGCTAACGAATGCACAGAGATGCATAAAACTTCAAACCAGAAGACAAACCAGTCAAATTTACAAATCACAATAAATACCTATGAGCGATGGATGCAACGGAAAGTAAGCATTCACTTCCTTCCTAGCTGGGAACAGACTACACAAAAAGATAAGTCGCGATGGAAAATTAGGACGAGAATAGGACTCTCGCCCACTTTCAATTTAGCAACCAGGAAAGTTGGGAGACTAAAATTTTGGAGCCATATTCTCACTCTGTCTGTCACCCTCCCATTTTGAAAACTTCGCTTGTGCGCGCCTAGATCTCGCGTGTCGACAACCGAAAAAGACATGCAGATTTGTTTGGTGGGAAACGATCTCGATAACCAGTCAAGATAGAAAGTTGAAACTTTGCAGAGATATTCTCTGAGCTAAAAATTTCAAATGCAGAAGAGAGGAATGAGGAGTGAGCAGTATCGCTGCAACCGAGCTTATTCTGCAAAACCGCTGAGGAATCAGCAAAAACTGACTAGAAAAGAACAGCAAAAAACCGGATGCGAATATGCAAAATATATATTTTGGTACTGTACAAAACACGTTGTAATTATAAATATTCTAAATGAAACACACACATTTAAAAAATGAGCTCGAAAGAGAAGGGAGGCATGTGGTGAAGCAGCAGCAGGAAGGAAGTGAAATTTATGCCAATTGATGAATGAATTTAATGAAAAAACTGCTAGGCACTTATAATATAGCACGATCAAATCCATATCGCTAAACGGGGACGACTACTTTTTAGGGCGCCATATTTTAGCAGTTTTCTCGGCCAAATGTAACGGCATCGAAGGGCCACTAGACGAACGGCTTAGAGGCGGCACACTTCGCACCGAACTGCAAATTCTTCTGCCTACTGAAGGCACAACAACCAGTAATACATAGATGATTCTTTTAGCATTCCATGATTTAAACGAGATATCTGTAGCTTTATTGGTGGATCTGGTGCCGTTGGAAACTCTTGGGTCCATGGCGGTAGTTTCAAATGCACAAATTAATTTCCCCGTTATCAGTTTCGATGATGAACTGCCAGTAGTGGGCGAATGCTCCTAGCAAATTGCTGTCAGGGTCGAGACGTTACCAGATGCCCCAGTTTTTTTGGAGGAAGGGGGAGCGAAATTTGTAAAGGATATTGATTTTCCTTTTTTATTTCCTTACATCTTTCATAAACATATACCAACTAAAATTAAAATTAAAACTTTAAAAAAAGAACCATGGAAAATAAGTCTCCAAGCACTACGCTTATTGTATGAAATGTAGAGCGAAAGCATCGAGCATTTATTCCCTTATTATTATACCTAACCGATTTTTTTTTCTTCAAACACGCCGTATTTTAATTTAAATGAACTTTGAAAATGTCTTACAGTGATCGATCAAGCGGAAGCATCGAATTCGCTGTTCCTGCAACGTCAAATGAACGACGCGCCGAATTATTCACTTCGTATATCCTTTGTTTCTGGATCTGTTCTTCGCGAATCCTCAGCTTTGCCTGTAGACAGAGCTTTTAAAGAGAGAAAAAGCAATATGCAATTGCTTATATTAATCTGTAAAGTTCATATGATTTCTATGAGAAATTTTATCAGATGATTCAAAAATTTACCTCCCATTCTTCCAGCTGCTTGGCTCGCCTGCTGATGTCCTCGAGTTGCGCTTGGAAAGATTTTTTGTCATTTTCTAATTGATTCTGCTTATTGCGCAATGCCTCTAGAGCACTTGCTGGAACGGCTGCCAAACGTCGGCTCTTCAGTGATGCAATACGCAGTTCTCGGCTGCAACACCAGTAATTTGTCATTGATAAATTTCCTTTGTATGATACAGATTCCGAAAAGCTGATAAAATCGGGTACAGAAACATCAGCAGTAGCCAGCAACATTACATTGCATCTTCATTACCTGTTCCCCAAAACAAAAAATATCTCATTCCTACGTGTTTCATTGAATTGCAACGTCCTTGACAAAAACTGTTAGCAGCATATAGTTAAATATAACTCTTCAAACATCCACCTAACAACCGGGGACATCAAAAAATCATTAAATTTTAAAGGCCTAATAATTAGCGTCCCAAAAAATGAGTTCATACTGCCGCCAGAGAACGTTTTAGACCACGAAACGATCTAGCTACCACGCATTTTTGAAAGTTCTACCCTTATAACTATTGAGAGAAACATCACCAGCCATGCTTGAGCCTTCCCTACAACGCATCAAATGTAACTTGTTGGAAGTCAATTTAATTCCTCAACGAGAGACGTGAAAAATATATGCTACACTAATCTGTGCAGCATATATTTTCTCGGAATAAATAACAGAAAATTTTTATAGGCCGACAACTGCTTTTCAAATGTACTAGCTTCGACTGCCTTTATACATTTGCACCAAAAAAAATATACAGAGACACTGACGTTCTTCGCTACATGTGCTAATTTAGGCAGCCTTTGTTACCACAATCGTCGTACTGACGAGGTCCAATTGTGGTAACGGTAAGAAACGTATACGACTTAA